CAACCTGATCATGTTCCAGTTATCTGAAAGTGCTTGAGCAGGAAATCAAGTGGAAATAGGAATGGTGGTCCTTTGGGAAGATTTTTCCTTCCTGCCAGGTCTAAAGTGCACGAGGGCTAATGCCGAACACAGTAGAGGAGAAAAACGCACATAAGTTGCGTGTAACTGCAAACGTTACAAACTTTGCTTCTAGAGAATTCTGCTACCGCAAAAGCACCTCCCATTAGTGACGTGAATATTGCTGCTCCGCATTCAAATACTGTTGTATAGTGTGAAATATGCCTTAGGTAATTATACCGAAATTTCGCGCGATCTGCTCCACTAAGAAAATAGTTTTAAAAGAAAAAGCGTAAGAGCAATTGGCCGAAGACTTTTGAGCGCTACTGTATGTATGGTTAACTCTGAGCTGTTAAGCATATTTATATTAACCATGTTTTGGTTACTATAAATATGCTTATTGTATTTGTTTTGTTTTCATAATCATGGTGGATTCCTAAGTTCCATCGGTTTTCCACAGATCTATTGATTTCGGAATTAAACACTTCAAAACTTTTTTTTATTGACGAAATTTCGAAGACTAAGTCTGTCTTTTTAAAAAAAAAAAAAAGTTGCTGTACATCACAGGCATCAGCAACAGCACCTGGTAAGACGCATGAAATTCAAATCGAAAATAAAATTCAAACTTGCCGAAACGTTAGCCCAATAAATTTTAAAAACTTGGAAAGGCTGAAGCAAATATACATATCAGAAAAATTAAATTGTTCTAACAACTAATCGAGTACTAGAAAAAATGTTTTGACAAAGAGTGTTGTTGTAGAGGATCCTGCAGATATCTCTATGGTTGCTCAAGAGAGCTTTGTCGGGTTTCTCTGGGGAAAGAACCAACTACACTTTCGTTAGGATTGGGTTTTAGATTTCTGTACGCGTGTTAGTCTTAGGATTGGTGATTGCCACGATCCACCAGTCCTACGACCTCACCATCAGATACAGAACGGCATATCGATCGAGGTCGCTCTCATTCCACTACCATATCATTCGCAAGAAAATAGTTGTATTTGTTTGAATAATCTGAAGTTTAGCATTCTGTAAACGCTCTTCTTGACTTATCTTCTCGAACTCAGGTTTGAGTGAGACTCTTTACTTTCCGATCCGAAACGGCTCAGTTTTGCGGTTTCACTATCGCCTCGAAACTTCCTAAGCGACACATTAACTTATTTTCAAGAACAGTGGAGATTGATGGGAAAGCATGTGTATATTGATCGGTGATTCACATGACGTCGTGGCTGCCGCAGCTTCTTTGGTTGCATCTGATATACCATCACTGAATTCCTTAATTCTTTAGAGGTTAGTCACAGCTGCTTGTCATTTCAAGGGTTGTTCGGCGACTTGCATTTCGTTTTCTTGTGGGCGATCTATTCACAATGTGTCGAACTTCGATTTTTGAAAAGGGGGAACACAGCGGGCTGGGAAAGCATTGAAGGGAGAACGAACAAATAGTGGCTCGCCACTATTTGTTCGTCCTCCCTTCAAGGTGCACACTCAATCTCACCCACCCTAATTCGGCGTGTGGCGTCGCCTCGCTTCTTTCTTTATTGTCACATGCGATTCGTATTCGACGATGTACGACGGATAAGCATCGCCTTTGTTTCACTACACTGCTCTGTTTAGCTTAAACACTCAGGACTTCTCTTCGTTCGCCTTTTAGATCGTGTCGTGCGCACTTCTTTTCGGGTACTTCCCTCCCCACAATCCTGTGAAATTACTAGGTTCTCCATCAATTTCACGATTACAAATCGATTGTGTTCGATTATTTGAAATTTTTTCTTGAATATTCAATCATGAGCGATGTATCGGTCCGCAATTTTGATACACTTGCAACCGTGTTGAATCGTTTAGTAGACTTTGTTCAGTGGAGAAGTTTTATGTTACTTCTCTGAGCTTTTCTTACACTTAACCTGCTTCGTTCCTTCTACCATTGAGTTTTTTTATTTTTTTTTTAATTCGAACAATTTATCAACACAACTTTTTTTTGCGTAATACTATGAACATGATATTACCACCGGTTCTGCAGTAGCAAGGAACAAGACGGATCTCATTTTTACGATGCCCCTCATACGACTTCTTTCAGAGTCATAGTGTCGTTTTGAACGCATCGGTGGCCTATACAATGACCTTAGGTGGCCATTCGATAACTATCGGCGCTTTTATCTCCCAGAAGGAGAGATACCAAATGTCGCAACGTCTCTGAATGGAAGACGAGCGGGGAAGCGCATACGAAAAGCGGAATTGTTTTGCTTATCTATTTGTTTATTTACTTATTTATTTATATATTTATTTTTTGAATTGTATTGAATTTATTGAATTGAACTGTTAAAGCCTGAGACTCAATTCTTTCGAGCAGCAATTACGCACAGTGAAATAAAGGAGGTCAAAGAAAGGTCTCAGATATATACGACGTGATAGAAAAGGTAATGGGCATGTACTCAAGGACGATTTGGGAGTGTGA